AAAATAATAATAATAATAATAATAATATTATTATTATTATTTTATAATATTATCATTATTTTCTTTTTTATTATTATTATCAATATCAGCATCAGCATCATGATAATAATTATTTATTTTTTTATGCTGCGCATTTTCCATTTTCTTAAAGAAATTGCTTAAACTTTCAGAAAGAAATCATATTTTAAAATTTCTGGACAGTGTGTACGTAAAACATAAGATAAGATAAGATAATAGAATCTACTTTATTATCTCAGAGGGAAATTTTTCTTGGCTGTGCAGGGCCGTAAAAACACACGCATGTATACCTTTAAAAAAATATTTTTTAAATTATATATTACTCATATTAATTCAATATGAAAAGAGAAGTAAAGCTGACAAAATGTACGTATCACACTAGATGCATCATTCAACCACAGGCAGGAATTTAATTACAAGACATCTGGAGTTTTATATATGAGCCATTTTTTTTTTTTAAATGTCACATTTTTTGAAATTGTGATTCCAGACCTAATTCCTTGGATACCAATATTAAACATTGCTTAGAATTGCCTTTGACTATGTTCATGAACAAGGCAAAACATTCCTTGACCTTAAAATCGGGTTTTCAAAACTGCCCAAGTCATAGAAATTTTACAGCTCTTTTGTAAATCTTGCTCAGTAGGCAAAAAATGGCAAGTTCTGCAACACGTATATGTTTTTAAAACATGCTTACGGAAATTGTCATGGCATCAGGGATTAAATATTTCGCAGTCATACAGTACTGGACAGCATTACCGAAGCAAAACAAATATTGGTACCCGTCCTTGTCTTATATTTGTTTATCAACTCTTTATCTCCATATTTTGCTTAACCCATTTCAAAGTTCTCTCCTGTTACCCAGCATTTCACACAGATGAATGGTCCCTAGATATAAATGTATTTCTTTGAGATTTTGCGAGTGAAGACTCCCTTCATATTCCTTTATATAACATGAGACAGAGGAGCTTATGCAATGCGCGATTGAAAGAAACAGAGTCAAGTTCAACCCAACATGGTGAGTATTTGAGCATAAATGTCCCTCCCGTTACTGGGGTCTATAACGGCTTATTATACAGAGATCCGATACACTCTCCTTTGGTTAGGAAGTCTGCCAAGGTTACATTTAATGGTAAGACAATCCATAACATGAGCTCTACCCAGCGAGTGGTCATCAGGGTAATGATGTACAGAATTCCCTCCTGTTACTTTCCCTCCTGTTACCCGGGTTTTGGTAACAGGAGAGAATTTTAAAAAGTAACAGGAGAGAAAGGAAGGTGCTCAATATCTTAACTGACCACAGTTTGGGTTAGAATGTGAGATAGTCCATGCTTAATAGAGTAAATGAAAGAGGTTAAAACCAAAGGCATGTTTGTGTTTTTCAACAGAGCACCTGAATTGTAATTTTTATCTTTGAGTAACAGGACGGAATTGAGAGTAACAGGAGAGAATACAAGATAGCAAGTAGGAGGGGTAGTTAAACCTGTCCCCGTCGTTTTATGCAAGAAAAATTGTGAAATTGTGCAAAATGAGCCCAAAAATGTGAAATTTTGCATTTCTGTTAATTTTAACAAAGAATGATAAAGGAAAATAATTAGAAATTATGCAAGAAATTATCAAATTTTGCTAAATTATGCGGGGTGCATAAAACCACGGGGACAGCTGAACTGACCAAAGTTCGGGTTGGAAATGGGCCATTTATGCACAAACAAAACATAATAGTTATTATATGAAAGATGTGTCTGTACTTTTTCAACAAACTCCTGTATTGTGATTCTGTAATTTAGGTAACAGGATGGAATTGGGAGCAATAGCGAGGGAACAACAGAGTAAAATGAAAGACAAAACCTTCCATTTTTCCTACATCGATGACAATAATAATGCAACCTACTTTTGTTCCACCAAAGTCTAGAACCTTCTATTTTGATAAATGGTATCGAAGAGTTCTAAGTAATTGTGATATTGTGGGTTTAGGGGTTCGGGCCTCAGCTCGGTACAACGCTGTGTCCTTGAGAAAGACACTTAACCCACGAATTTCCCACTTGGCGCCGTCCTTTCGGAGAGGACGTTAACCGTTAAACTCGGAGGTCCCACCTCTAAAATAATCTTATAAGGGCGTTAAACCTGTACCATTTAACTATCTTAACCAAAGAGTTCTTAAAATGTAGGTCTAGATCTAGATCTTTTATTCAGTTGCAGATTTAGAAGTGCATTTCGCGTTGTCGCAGAGACGTAGATCTAGATGTTGACTGAAGTAAGAAATAATATTCTTATTCGCAGAAAATTTGTCACACATGAAATCAGCTTAGCTTAGTTGACTTCGGCACAATGCC